TTTCTTTTGTTGTTCTTGTATTGCTCCCATCAAATCTGCTAAACTGTAGTTTGATTTTCCGCTTCTCGTTTCCATTTTTTTTTTCATCCCACTTCTGACACCAATTTGTTACGTCTCCGTTTGTTAAATTGTTTTTCCGTAACTTCGTTCCGATGAAACTTTAGCAACACAAGTCCTTACTTAATAAAACTGGTTTATTCTTTCCGAATATAACTTTACGTACACTTAATTTCAATATTCGCGCTAAAACAAACACTATAACGAACGAACGTTAACTTCAACAATACGTCTCTCTCTGACTGCAGTTCAATTACTCACTGCCTACACACACATTACCTTACTCCGTCACGTTGTCACCCTCTTTTATATACCAGACTATCCTATATCTAGTAAATACTAGACCAATCGCCAAGGTACAGGATAGTTCTAGAAATGTGGCGTCACAGTAGTCATGTGACTCGCTGACGCAACAATATTAAGTTAATTATTTATTGCCTCTCTGTCACTTACAAATTACAGAATACCATAACAAAATGATAACAGGAGGCTAAAAGTAAAAAATTAGGGCCTTTAATTTTGTTTTAATTATTTCATCCAAAACAAATATTAATAAAACTTATAAGAAAATATCTAAACATGTCAGTTATAATTTTATTTTGCAGAAAAATTGTGGGGATACAAAGCTCAAAATTAATGGTTGTTTTTAGCTAAGCTCTAAATAGTTTAAAAACTTCTGTTAGGTGCTCAGAGCATTTACTTCATTCAACATATAATATTTTCTTCAAAATTGCAATCATTTCTGCTAAAATATAAAGAAATATATGAGGGAAGGATATTGGATTTGCTCTTTCTTGTGGTTATAAACATGTTCTGTAGCAATGTTGGAAAGAATTATAGATATATTTTGAATGACAAAGAGAGAGACACAGTAAAGACAACACTTTGAAGTTTAATCCAGGATAATCATGTCACCAATCAACTCCTCATATTGCTGCATGCCAATGACATTGAAACCTTTAATCCCACAAATGCAATAAACTTGTGGCATGCTGGATGGTTGAGGGCAAGGAGGCCTGATAGATCTTTGAGAGTAGCAGCTTTCAATGTAGAATCTGATTTATCAAGTGTGAGTGATGATGCTGAGGAAGAGTCCATGGAGATAGTCTTCTCAAATAACAGTGAGACTGATTGAACTTTCGTGAGGCTACCTGCAAAGATATGACTTGTCAGAGAAAAACAAGTTTAATTATTATTTTTTTACTGGCCAATTTATCATTTTTTAAAGATCAGGATCAAATTCTTCACAGTCATGATGCGTCATTGAATGCAGTTGCAAATATACATTCTTTAGAGTCTTAAATCTGAGTTTTCCATTTCACAGTAAGATTTAAGAATTATTCCTTGTGTTTCTCTTGCCTCCAAGTAAAAATCAATCACTTTAAGGTCATGAGAATATCCATTAAGTATTTTAGAGATGATCCATGAAAAGCTTAGAACATTATGCCTTCCAAACTGTACATTAAATGTTTTTTAACTCCTGATTCTATTAATTGTCACTAATTCTTTTCTACATGTACAATGTATTGAAATTCTATAGGTCTAGTACATGAGCTGACATTTCAGAAGGTTATTACTCGAAATAGAGTACTAGACATAGTTCTAGAAGCTTAACTTAGAACAGACAACGTGATGATTTCTTTTGCAAATTAAAGGATTTCTACAGTCTTGCAGTACATTATTCTGTGTAGTTTCTCATTTATTGTAAAACAATATTTGTACCTTATCCAGCACTGAGTCACCTACACCATTGATTGTACCTCCAAGCTTCTTCTGTTTTACTATAAGCACATGGCAAGAATTTCGGAATTTGTGATATTTAAATGTGTGCATCAAGAAGTAATGAAACAAAAAAAACATTATTTAGATTCTTTACATTACACTCTCACTGAGAAAGTTGCAAACTTTATTCATAATAAGTTGGCAAATAAGAATTTATAAACATTGTGAAGTGATTTATTTTTTGGGGAACTTTGGTCTGTTTTATTCTTGTATACTTGAAGAAATCAGACACATGTTTTATTGAAACATATAGTATGTTCTTCCCAAAATAAATCACATTATTACGCTTATCATTTTTGGCTAAGGTATTATTGTATTAGCATGATTTTCTTCCTTACTCAATAAACATTTCTGTCATAACTGTATACTAGAGTTTAATCTAACACTAATACCTTTAGATAGTAAGGTATAACAGCATGTTAAAACAAATAAAGTATCATAAACTAATACATTAAGGTTTTTATGAAATTTTGGTGTCCATTCGGATATATTTTATATTGTATATAATACTTAAATTTATCCCTCTGAATATGAAAATATAAGAACAAAGATGTTTCTGTGACTATGTAATATATATGTAAAATCTAATATCTATCTTTTTCATAACAATGAGTTACAACAATGGTTTTTATGTTATTGTTATGTCTCTGGTCGTTGGTTAATTTTCCATAGAAATTATTTCCGAAAAACTTCAGTGATACAAGTCCTTTCTT